CGAAAAACTGGAAATGACCCAAACATCTATCAACAGAATACATCAATTGTAGAATATTCATACAATGAAACCCTGCTGCACGGCAATGAAAAGAATAAACCACTGCCACACACAACAGCATGATGAAGCTCACATGCATAAGGTTGAAAAAAAGAAGCCAGACCCAGAAAGTACCTTCCATTTCTATGGAGATCAAAAACAGGCAAAATAAGTCTCTGGTTAATAGAAGCAGCATGGTGATTATCTCCGGTGATTATTGACTGGCAGAGCTTCCTAGAGGGCTGGAAAATGTTACTCACCTACACCTGGGTGGTGATCATACAGGTATATCCATGTGTAAATATCAATCAAGCTGGGTTTTTTATGCACTTTGAAGTAGATACCTTGGGGACTTCCTGGTGGGGCAGTGGTTGAGAATCCGCTTGCCAGTGCAGGGGAAATGGGTTCAATCCCTGGTTCAGGAAGATCCCACATGTGCGACCCATGTGCCACAACTACGGAAGCCCACACGCTCTGGAGCCACTACAATGAGAAGCCTGAGCAACCAGAGAGTAGCAATGAAGACCCAGCACAACAGAAAATTTTAAAAATTTAATAAGTAGATAACTTTACCTCTATTTTTTAAGTACTATCATTTTGCAAAAAAAAAAAAATTATGAATAACAGCCCTCTTGTGTCTGACAGTCACTTCCTGCTACAGTTTCTTCTGATTCTAATTGAAGCCCAGAGAGTGTAATCCACTCAGCCCAGCACGTCTGTGGAGAGCCCACATCCTAAAGAGGGGACTATGTGTCCTGTTTTTCCCATGCAACTAAAAGCTCCATGGGGTGCCTTTGTGTTTCTGGAGCAGAGCTCAACAGTCTCCAAATGGTGGGGGAACTACCCCGAGTCTGTAACTGGTTGCTACTGGGGTGTTGAAACATGGCAGCAGGGTGGTTATTAAGAGCACCAACTCTAGTGACTTCCCTGGTGGTCCAGTGGCTAAGACACCCTGCTCCCAAGGCAGGGGGCCCAGGTTCGATCCCTGGTCAGGGAACTAGATCTCACATGTTGCAACTAAAGAGTTCACATGCCACAACTAAAAAGATTTCACATTCTCAAGATCCCGCATACCTCAAGGAAGACTGAAGGTCCCATGTGATGCAGCTAAGACCTGGCATAGCCAAATAACTAAATAAATTTTAAAAAGAGCACACACACACAAAAAGAGCACAAACTCTAAGGGCACAATTCTGTAGCTGTGCAGGCTTAATCCCTCTGTACCTCAGTTTCTTCATCTGCAAAATGGGGACTATAATGGTACCTACCTCATCGTGTTCTGAGGATTAGATGAGTGACTAAGTATAAAACCCTTAGAACAGTACCTGGCTCAAGCCATGTACGTGTTTGCTGTGATAACCTCCGTGCAGAAAAACCCAGGCAGGCAGTTCAGAGTGAAACTCTGCTGCTGCACTCTCTGCGCCACCTCAGGCAAGTTGATTAAGCCTCCATTTCCTTGTCTATTAATCAGAGATAATAATATCTACCTATTGTTATAAAAGCAAAATAATGCCTGCAAATCCCCTGGCTAAGTTCCTGAGTGCAGAGGCCAAGTCTTCCACATCTCTCTCCCCAAGCCCCAGCACCGGGAGGCGTTCAATTGCTTGGAAGAATGAGCCCTTCCCCACCCAGCCTTCGCCTGTGTCCCTCCTCCTTCTCACGCTAGCAGACAGCAGCATCTAGTGGATATTTCTGGAACTGCAGGCTTCCCAACTTCCACTGGTCAAGCTGGGTGCAGTCCGTTTGATAACCCTTTTGTAATATCCACTTTGCATTGGACAAGTGTTAGGTGCTGCCGTGTACAGGAACTAAATAAAATGAAGCAAGATACACAGGATAACTGTAGAGGGTGCAAGAAAAATCACAATTAGAACCTTATCAATACCCTAATTTTCTATCTTAAAATTCGTCAGGGGATTTGGCATACTGAACAGTGTCTTCTTGGGAAGTTTTTACTCACAGGAGTGGTTTCCAAGTGGCCGCCATTTCATGTCAATGACTCCCAGTGAAGGTCAAAGCAATGAAATGAAAGGTGATTCCCTTAGAGTAGCCCGACTAGCTTCCGGCTCTCCGTGGAGAGGAAAAGCAGGAGTGTTTGGCTCTGAAGCCCATATTCTTCCACCACACTTCACTATCTCTCCCCAGACACAAAAGAATGAAGAAGGTCTAGCAGTGGCACAGATCACATCCAACTAGAGGAATCAAGGAAGACTGCATGGAGGAGGTGGCATCCTACATGGGAAATGAAAATGAGTGGGTGGTTGGGGAAGGAAGGGCATTCTGGTGTGATGGACCACATGGTGTATAAAGTGAAGTAACAGGGATGGGCTGGACAGGAGAGTTAGAGCCATATCAGACAGAATAGACAGGCCAAGGAGGCTGCATTTAATAAATCAGGGGACCCACTGAGTTAGAAGGTAACATGATGCGAGGGTATCAGAGAAGAACCAGAGATTCAGAAACAAGTTAGGTGGGCAAGAGTCCAGACCAGACTCATGGGAGCGGCACCATGAGGGAGAGAATAAGAGATACACATCCTAAGGAGGGGACTATGTGTCCTGCTTTTCCCGTGCAACTAAAAGCTCCTTTTGATAGGCTCTGTGGCAAGGCTAGAAGCAGGGGGAGGCTTGGGAATTTATAAAAGTGGGTCAAATGGGAGAAGTCAGGGAAGAATTCACGGTGCTGAGATGATAAGGAGAGCTGTAACCAGAAGGTGGACTTGCCCAGGGGACTGATGTGAGCCGGGAGTGGAGACAGTGAGCTGCATGAGTGGGAGTTGCCAGCGTCCATGCGGAGACGTGGCACCAAAGTTCAGGAGGGGGCTGGACTGGAGGGAGGGGGCAGGTACAGTCACCTGGGAGTCACCGACTTATGCCTGTGCCAGCGGAAGACTTGGGAGAAGACAAAAAAAGTCATGTGGGGAGAGACGGGGACAGAGGGCAGATGTCACCTCATGTCATAGTTCTGCCTCGTATTAAAGCTTCCTGGGGACAGAGGAAGATGAGGCGGCCAGGAAGACAGAAGGGACTTTGGAGAGAGAAAGTCAGGAGACCCTGGCGCACGTCCAGCAGCGTCACAGGTCACGGAGTGATTCAGGGGCCAGGGCGGCTGAGAGGCAACCATTGGATGTGTGATTGGGGGTTGTCATGGGTGACCCTGGAAAGAGCAGTTTCGGGGGCAGGAATCAAGCCGCAAAGATTTAAGAAGCAAGAGGCAGAGAGTGTGGGGCAGCGGGAGGCTCTCAGGAGGAGAGAGAAGATGATGAGCAGAGCTATATTAAAGGCAGGCAAGGTGCCTTGGAAAGAAAATTGGAAGAAGCACCCCCTCTCAGGGTCGTGCAGGTGGCCCAGGGGCAGACACCGGTCCCAGAGCTGTTGAGAGGTAGAGACCCTCTAGGACTAAAGGACCTGAGACAACCCAGGAAGGGAACTTAGAGACCCAGGCAGAAGTCAAGACCCTTCAACCTCCACATCCAGGCAAAAACACGGGTGGCCGTCGGTAGAGCTGGGGGAGGGGAGGGACGGAAAGAGGGGAGGGAGCAGGGGCTGGAGACACTGAGACACGCAGTGAGAGTGGGGAAGTCAGGGAGGGAGGGCGAGCTTCCCTGGGGCCTTCCTGGGGAGATTCCGCCCACCCCGCCTCTGTCCGGAGAAGGGAGAGTCCCAGCATCCTTGGTTCAACCCCAGGAAAGCAAGGGCTCCAGTTCCACCTTTCCTCAGGGTGCTCCAGTTCAGGGAGGCTCGTGGCCCCAGCTCTAGCGGGGCTGTGCCCCACACCAACCCAGCACACGCTTCCTTTACCCGGGAAGTCTGAGCAAGTTTCTCCATCCTGGGACTTAAGTTTCGGTAGTGGGCTGAATGGTGGCACTGAAAAGGTAAGTCCCTGACGGAACCCCACTGCCCCCAGAATCTGTGAGCGTGACCTTGTTTGGAGAAAGGGTCTGTGCAGAGGTAATTAAATTAAGGTTGTCAAGAAGAGATCATCTGGATTATCCAGGCGGGCCCTAAATCCAACGACAAGTGTTCTTTCAAGAAAAAGAAGAGGGGAAGGGGGAAGGCCGTGTGAAGACGGAAGCAGAGACTGGAGGAAGGCAGCCACAAGCCAAGGAATGCCTGGAGCCTGGAGCCACCCAAAGCGGGAGGAGGCCAAGGGTTCTCCCCTAGAGCCTCCAAGGGGAGCACAGCCCGCAGTCGCCTTGATTTTGGACTTGTGGCCTCCGAAACTGTGAGAGAATACAATTCTGCTGTTTCAAGCCCCCCAAGGTTTTGGCAGTTTGTTGGAGCAGCCAAGGAAAAGCCCTACTCTCTAAACTGTCTAGAAAGATTCTAGGGGTGCTTCTGAGAGTCTCCATTCTGCAAGGAGAGGAGTTCCAGGTCTGGACAAAGTTGTGTTTTTTAACTCACTGCCCAGCCCTTTTCCAGGGTGAAGATTAATATTTTGACTTAGAGGAGGAGGAAAACCAAAGGAACAGCATCCTCGCCCACTCCTCAGAGAAGAAGGAAGTGTCCCCAAAGAGTATTTCATGACCCAACGCTCCTCTCCTTTGCCCAGAGCTCGCGCACCCACCCAGGCTGATCGAAAGGGCCCACACTGACCCAACGAAAAGCAAGGAGCTCTTTAAAAACTGGAGTCTGCCTTTCTCAATTTCTCCTTGCAAACCTTGCGCATGCCCCCACCCCACCCCCACTTCACAGCAACTCTCTCCCCACCCCTCACATCTGCCTTCTTCCTCGGTCTTCCCCATTCTTGGGGGGCAAGATAAGATGGATACCCCTGAAGCACAGGCATGGAAGGCACTCCCCCACCCTCCTCCCTCCTCCCCACAACACAGCTGGAGGGGGAGGGGAGGTCAGCAGGGTTCATAAAGGCCAGATGTTGAGGAGAAAGAGAGCACTGCCCAACCCACACCCACCCACCCCACCCCCACTCCCACCCCCAGCAAAAAAATTAAAAGAGACAGCTTTTAAAACAAACAAAACTTTTGTGGTCCAAAACAGTTTTTTTTTTTCCCCCAAGAATCTGCTCTATGCAAACATTAACAACTTTTTACAAAGCATTTTCACAGAAAAGGAGACAAGTCCTTCCCCAGTATCATATATGGGAATTGTTCCTCCCTCCTCCCTTCTTGGGGGAAAAGGGGAAAAAAACAATATTCACTAGTGTGGACAGAAGGGTCACCGGGTCCCTCACTATCGGACTGATCGGCAACCCTAAGGTTCCCCTCAAACCTAAACTTGGAATTTCCCTAAGAGCTAAACTCCCCAGACCTCACCTGGGTGGAGAAAGTAAGTCCACTCCCCTCTGACTCGCTCCCCTCCCCCAGGAAAACAGAACTTCTGACCTCAAAACTAATCCCCGGCCCTGCCTCCTTCGGATCCATCAGGTCCCTGACAACTCCCGAAATGCCTGAAGTTGGGTGGGGGGAGAATGCTAAAGGTTTCTCAACCCAGTTCCCATCCAGACTCAAACTTAGTCCCTTCAAACACCCCACTGGACCTTGTGGTTAGGCCAAGAGCCCTTTCATCTACCCCCTCCACAAAGAGCAGCTTGTCTTGTTTCTAGCCTTGAAGGAGGCTGAGTTTGGGTGTCCAAAGAATGGCCCTAGGCGTGCCCTCTAACTCCACGCCCTCCATCCTTAAACGGTGGAGAGGACCTGGAAGGAAGGGCAACTTGTTTGGTCTGATTTTATTGATTTCTTCCACCTTCCATTACTTTCCCTGGGATGGTCTCTGGCTCCTTCCCCAGGCAGTTTGTACTTCTGAAGGGCAGGAGGTTCCTCAGCCTTGCCCCTCCTAATACCAGGATTAAACTAGAGGTGGCGGCAGACTCAAGGCAGGGGTGGGGGTGGGTGGTGTGGTGGGGTGAGGGTTGTGGGGGTGTCCTCTTTTACCCATCAGATCTTATAACCTGAAAGCAAATGGAATACTGAAGGAAACTCCCAAACTGGACAAAGGGGAAAGACTGGTGGCTGAGAATGAAGACCTCAGTAACTAGGGGTCACTTGACTTGGGGGACCCTAGGAAAAGAACCGGGAGAGGGTGATCTTACCCTTACCTAAGCTGCTTCGGTCCCCAGGAAGGCTACAGTGGTGCTTGGAGGCTAGGGAAGGCCTGAGGGGAGTGAAGGGTTAAAGGCCTGGTTGGTGGGGGTAGAGGATGCCCCCAGGGAGCTGCCAATCACCTCCCCACCCCCACCACAGCCCCCACCCCATCCCCAGGCTCGCCCACAGAAACAACCGGTTTGTCCATCACCAAGGTCTCTCTCCCTCTTTTTTTTCCTCCTCTTTGAGTTGTAGCCTCCTCGACTCCCCCTGGGGTGAAGGCCCTGCCCCCAGAGATCCGAGATGGAAGAAGGGAGGGATTGGAATCTACGTTTTAAGCCTTTTTCGGTTAAGCCTTCTCCCGACTCCAGTCCTTGGTTCTTCTCCAAAGGATGAGGGGGAGGGGGTGTCACTGCAACCAGTTAGGTGCTTGAAGATCACTGTCATTTGAGGTCCTTCTGACCACAGCCCATAAAACCTAAAGAGGACAGGCAAGGTGAGAAATGACGTTCTATCCTCGAGCCCGCAGTCTGGCTGTGGCCCCCACTCTTCCCCCCTTGGCAGAAGAGGTCTCACGCTCAGGGCTGCTTCAAGTTGATTCCCCAGAATTTGAGGCCGGGGGGCTCAGGGACAGCGGGACCCCCTATCTGCCACCTCCACAGCGGGTGGGCAGGCGGGGGCTTAGCGTCTCCCTGGAGGCGAAGCGAGGATGCCGGCCCTAAGTCTCCGTCCTCCCCCACCACCAGGGCCGGGGGGCAGGGGAAGCAGTCGAGAAGACTGAAGGTGCTCGTGGTGGGAAGCGTCGGGGTAGGTCGGCGGGGCTGCGCGCTGCGTTGGGGGGGCGCCGGCCGCCGGCGTTTCTTGGCGGCTCCTCGGGCGGGCCCTTTGGCTGGGGGCCGCTCGGGCCCCCGGCGCAAACTCGGAGTGTCGAGGGCGAAACCCTTCGCGTAACACCACAGTTTCGAGCGGCGGATCAGACGATTGAAATGTTCCTGGCGGAGATCGCCGGGCGCGGCCGGAGCTTCGCTGGCCGTCGAGGGGCTGGAGGCCGGTGCCTCGGGGGCGACCTTCGGAGGGTTTCCATCGACTGCGGCCGTCTGGTTCGGCGGGGGCGGTTCCGGCGCGGCTCCAGGCCCCATGGGCTCAGAGGAGAGGCCCGCAGGTGGCGGCGGAGACCAAGAACCTGGCTCCTGATGCGGGCTAGCGGCGGGGCCAGGCTGAGAGTCGAGAGCCAGGGCTGGCCTAGGCGGAGCCGAGACGGAGCTGGTCGGAGATTCCCGAGGGCGCCGGGGCGCCGGGCAGTGGCCGGGAGGTACGCCGAAGCGAGCGCTGAAGTGCGGGAAACTGCCTCCGCCCTCTTCCTCCTCGCCGCGGCCCCGGCACACTGCGGCGTCGGCATCCTGGCGGGCCGGGGAGTTGGGATCGCTGGACCGCCCGGCCTGTCCCGCGAGGTGCTTCAGGCCATCCGGGGCCCTGCCTCCGGTACACAGCGGGGCGCAAGGGCCCAGCAGCACCGGAGCCCGCGGCGCCAGCTCCCCAGGCCCCAGGCCCAGAGAGGACGCCCGGGGTTTGGCAAGGGCGCAGAAGGCAAGGGCACGCAGGCACAGAGGAGAGAACTCCTGGGTCCCCCGACGCGGCTTCCGGGGTGTGGGGGAGCAGGGTGACCCTCGTGGGGACCCCGGCACTGCGAGGCGGGGAGCGGGGCACAGAGTCTCCATGGAACTTTCCGAGGGGGTGCCCACTGAGGGGGCCCTGGTCCCAGCGGCGGGATGCCCTGACTGCCCGAAGAGCCCACGGGCGAGGGGAACATCGCCCCCCCTCGACGGGGAGGTCTCTGCTCGCGAGCGCCCCCGGCCCGCGCCCGTGGGCCACGGAGCTCCGGGTCCCTCTTCGATCTCTTCACGCGGCCCTCTCGGCGGCCGGACTCCTGGGTCCCCGTGAGTCCCGGCGCGGTCGGCCGCCCTTCCTGCCGCCGCGAGCCCTGTGCAGCCTCGGCGGGAGCCCCTCTTGAGTTGCCCGGAGCGCAGAGGCTGGGGAAACAAAGCGGCCGGCGGCCGCAGGAGGCGGGAAGGACCCCGGGCCCGGCACCCGGTGCCGGGGCCCAGGCGGCGGGGAGGGCGCCTTCCGCCCGCTCGGCTTCTTTCTTCCCCGCTGGCTCCCGGAGACCGCGTTATAGAGAACTGCCCCCTCGCTGCCCCAATACCAGCGCCGGGGCCGCGAGCCCGCCGCTGATTGGGCGGCACTGCTTGTGACGTTAGCCGGGACCCCACCCCTCCCGCGGCACCGCCCCCATCCCCATTCCGCACACAGACACACACACGTGGACCCGGCGCTGCGGCGGCTGGGAGGGAGGAAAAGAGGGTGCTTGCGCGGGTGGGATGCCGACGGGCTAGATGCGCCGCTGCACGTGGCGCAGTGGCGTCCCAGTGTTTAGTAGCCGCAAAGCCCGTCATTTTTTCCCTCATCAGTCATGGTTTTCGCATCCGTAAAATGGGAACATTCACATCTACCCCCTTGGGGCTGCGTGAGTCAAACAGAGGTGAATCTCAAAGCGAAGTTGAAAGAAAAGATGAAAAGAGGTTGTTTAGCAGCTTTGCACAGCAAGGACTCCTGCGGGCAGAGAATGTTCCCTACCTCTCTGTTTCGGTCGCCTAGAACAGTGCCTGGTACACAGTGGGCTCAAAAAACGTTGAATGAATAGGAATTCAGTGAGTGTGTGTGCAAGATGAAAAAAGGAAGAATTAAATTTGGAAAGGAGGAGTATCGTTACACCCATGAAAGACGATATATAGACTTTCTCGGTACCTGTTTCCATTTCTCACTTAACTTATAGCCGGCCCCTTGAGCACATTCTGAGGGGCTGGCTCTGCTGTACCCCCTCAAATCCCAAGATTATGCTTTGTGAGGCTTGAACTGCCAAAATGGGTTTAGGAGACCAGAGGAGGAGATACATAGACCCTCACTCTTATCTCCCCTACGGAGAGTAAAGCAAAGAAAAAGTGAATCCCGTTAAAAACCCTGATAAGGGAGGACCATGTACCCGCAGCACATTCCATCCTCCTACCCTTGTTTAGTTTCTGTAGAGCTCACTATTATATGAAAATCTGTGAATGTGTTTCTCTTTATTGTCTGTCTCTCCCATTAGTCTGGAAATGAGCTGATGAGAAGTTTGTCTTGATCACTTCTGCAACCTCAGTGCTTTGAACAGTGCCCAGACTTAATAGGTGCTCAATAAATATTTGTAGTGAATGAAAGAATCCCTGAAATATTCCTCTCTTGATAAAAATAGGGTCATTGGACATAGTCATTGGACTATGGAGAATAGGGTCATTCTCCATCCCCAGAAATATAGAGAGACTGATACGATGACATGGAATAAGGGTATGTTTGTGTGGGGGTGGAGAAGGGGACGACAGAGGATGAGATGGTTGGATGGCATCACCGACTCAATGGACATGGGTTTGGGTAGACTCCTGCAGTTGGTGATGGATAGGGAGGCCTGGCGTGCTGCGGTTCATGGGGTCGCAAAGAGTCGGACACGACTGAGTGACTAAACTGAACTGAACTGAAGGGTGGTCAGAGAGAGAAATATCTTATTCCCCAGCAGGGGTAAGAGAGAGTTTCTGTAAGGAAACAAATAATGCAGCTTGTATCCTGGTCCTTCTGGCGATGACAACAGAAGTACTGTTTCCCTGACATGTCATCCTGTAACATTTGGGCAGAAAGGGATCAGGAAGCTCTGCCTCCCTTACAACCCTTTTGCAGAAGCTGGAAGTGAAGACCCTAGTATTTGAGGAACAAGGAGCTGTGATGTTCAATTGCTCGAAGCACTCACCGCTTAGCATCTTCTGCAGAAGTCTGCAGGGAAGTTGCCATGAGGGAGGATCCTGGGATCCTGCCAGGTTTGGAGGAAAGTTCTGGAAGGATGATGATCTTCACAGTTGTCTCTTTTGGTGGACGGTGCTGAAAACTTTTACCCTGGAGACTGCAATACCAGATTTCTTTTGTTTATGGATGAGGGGGCATGTGCTTCAATCTGACCCTATTCCATACTCTGAAGCTAAGATGCCAGGGGAGTGGGCTTGGGTCCCACCAGTGGGCTTGAGTTTCCCACCTCTGAGAAACTCTTTTTTATGGCCTAGAGCCTCACTTATATTTGCATCATCGTGCCTAGTACAGTGTTGACAGGAGAGAACACACACACAAATTTTAGTATAAATAAATGAATAAATCTTATATAGCAATAGATCAGTGGTCTCCTTTCTCCCACTCTGAAAGTCACCAGTCCCACAAATCTGCATTTAGGAGCTTTATTGGGGATCATTTCTTTATTAGGGATCATTGAGGCCATCCCTGGAGAGGGAATTCCCTCCACCTCCACTTTCCCTTCTTCCCTTTCCTTGAATCAGACACCCCAGAATACAGCCCAGCAGTGAAACAGCAGCGGTAGTGAGTAACTCTCCAGCTAAAAGAACCTGGAGTCGTGGCACCTCCATTGTCAGAAGGCTTGGACCAGGGGTGCCAGCTCTGCGACCCTGGGCGGGTTACCTGGGCACTCTGTCTCAACGTGTCCCTATCAGTGAAAAGACACAACAGTGACTTCCTCACAGACCTTAGCAGGAGGGTGGAAATGATGTGTGGGCTGGCCCAGCTGTTGCAATTCCTCTTGCCTACGGTAGAGGACACTCGACCCCATCCCCAGCCTGGGTGAGAAGACCGGTTTCTTCAGAAACCTGTCCTCCTTCCCAGAGGCCGGATACAGGACCCCATATGACTCCTTAGGAATAAGGGATAGGAAGCGCCCCTCAAGACCTGGATGCCAGGCTTCCCTTTCCGTGGCTCATCTGAGTCTCATCCAAAGGCCTGTGTTCAAGGATTTGGGAGCGAGGGACCTGTCCACTTTCACCAGAGGAAGGTACAGTGGGGAATAGTAATTTCTATAGTACTGATGTCATTCCAATCTCTGTCCTAAGAATTTTATGTTAATTTTATGAACTTTATGTTAATCCCGGTAATAATTCTAGGAGGTACTGAAGTTCCAATACTTGGGCCACCTGATGTGAAGAGTTGACTCATTGGAAAAGACCCTGATGCTGGGAAAGATTGAGGGCAGGAGGAGATGGATGCAACAGAGGATGAGATGGTCGGATGGCATCACGGACTCAATGGACATGAGTTTGAGCAAACTCCGGGAGACAGTGAAGGACAGAGAAGCCTGGTGTGCTGCAGTTTATAGGGTTGGAAAGAGTCGGACATGACTTATCGACTGAACAACAACTTTTTTTCATTGAATAATAGTTGATGTACAATGTTGTGTTAGTTTCTAGTGTACAGCAAAGTGATTCAGTTATACATACATGTACATACTCTTTTTCATGATGGTTTGTTACAGGGTATTGAATATAGTTCCCTGTGCTATACTGTAGGACCTTGTTGTTTATCTACTTCTTATATAGTAGTTTGTATCTGCTAATCCCATACTCCTAATTTATCCCTCCCCACCTCCTTTCCCCTTTGGTAACCACAAGTTTGTTTTCTATGTCTAAAATCTGTTTCTGTTTTGTAAATAAGTTCATTTGTGACATATTTTAGATTCCATATATACGTGATATCATATGGTATTTGTCTTTCTCTTTCTGACTTGCTTCACTTTGTATGATGATTTCTAGGTCCATCCATGTTGCTGCAAATGGCATTATTTCATTCTTTTTTATGGTTGAGTAGTATTCCATTGTGTATATATACCACATCTTTCTTTATCCGTTCATCTGCTGACGGACATTTAAGTTGCTTCCATGTTCTGGCTATTGTAAATAGTGCTGCTATGAACACTGGAGTGCAAGTATCTTTCCAAATTATAGTTTTCTCTGGATATATGCCCAGGAATGGGATTGCTGAACCATATGGCAATGCTATTTTTAGTTTTTAAGGAATCTCCCTACTTTTTTCCATAGTGACTGTACCAATTTACATTCTCACCAGTAGTGTAGGAGGGTTCCCTTTGCTCCACACCCTTTCCAGCTTTTGTTATTTGTAGACTTTTTAATGATGGCCATTCTGATTGGTGTGAGATAGTACACATAAGGTAGATACTTTTAATTTTAAAAAATTTACATACTATCCAGAACCCACTTTAAATGTCTAAGTCAATGATTTTCAGTAAATTTACGGTTATACAACCATAACAACAATTCAATTTTACATTCCCTAATTTCAAAAATAATATATGTGAATATGTATAACTGAATCACAAAAAAGAAAGAATTCTACTTTTTTTAAATTTAGTAATATTTATCTTTTTCCAGCTTTTCTAAATGTCCTATGGAAATCTAATGACAATGTATGAGATGCAAGGTTTTAAATATGATTAATATAAATTAATACAAATATAAATCTATTATATTTAAATTATTAATGATATCACTCAAGATGCTCCTATTCTTTTTTTCTGCACTTGATAAAATTTTCTCAGAAAAATGTTAATGTCTCACTTATGATTTTATATATTTTTCTTTTCTGTTATAAAAAAATTTACATTTCCTAAGAGATCCCTCATCCCCTCTTGCAGTACCTCCCTGTTCCCACCCCAAGGGAACTACTTTCTGTCTCTATAGATATGCATTTTCTGGACACTTCATAGAAATGCAAAGGCCCCAAGTGGTCTTTTGCATCTGACTTCTTTTACAAAAATATACCATTTTGAGATTTATCAGTGTTGTAGCATATATTAGTAGTCTGTTCCTATTTATTGCTGAAGTATCCTTTTTATTGCTGAAGTATGGATATACCCCATTTTGTTGATCCAAACACATT